GTCATTAGCACCTCTAGTAATATATTTACTGAGAAAAATGTTGACGTGTTCAATACTTATTTTACCCGTTGTATATATTTATTTATTTAAACCAGTGGTTTATCCTGGTCCCCAAGGACATTATCCTGCATAATTTAGTTGTTTCACTGCTCCTCAGCAGGGTTTTTAAGATCTGCAGAAGCCTGTCAATCAAATCAGGTGCACCAAAGCAGGRAAACATCCAAACTATAGATTGATTAATATAGCTGGGATTTCGACAAAATTAGTCTGCCCTATGGTGTCTTATTTTGAAAATACGGATGTTGTGCTTGTTCCTTTACCTGTTGGTGCAATGCGATCTCTGTAGATTGACTCCGGAGCAGCTCCGGCATCCGGCAAAAATAGAATCTGATCTAATTTTGGCGGATCGCCAAAAAATACTCATTGATTATAATGGTTGCGTATTTGCTGCAGAGGTCGTACCACATCGGAGTGGAGACGCATCTAGTGTAAATTAGGGGTTAAGAGCCCTGTGAATAGATGTCAAGCTAGTTCACACCTGGAGTTTCAAAACAGTGTGCCCGAGAATCAGGCATTCTGCCATGTTATACCAAACCTCCAGCTCCTGGCCAGCTGTAGCAAGAACAGACATCTCCTTCTAGGCTTGAAAACACCAACTGCTAAATGGGAAGGTCTTGGCCATACGGAGCAGTGGTCCAAAATAATCTTACAAGGTGCCAAAACACACATGCATATGTGCACAAGCATTTTTCTAGTAGGGAGGACACCTGCTGGTGTCTGAAAATCATTTTTAAATTGGCTTCTACTTTTGTTGCCTCTTTTAATTCTCTGTTTCCCCCTCCCTCTTGCCACTGTCAGGCCACTCACCCCAACATGCGAACATATTATTTCTGCACTGACACAGCAAAAGAGATGGAGTCCTGGATGAAAGTAATGACAGATGCTGCTCTTGTCCACACTGAGCCCATCAGAAGGTGGGTATTCAYCACATGAATGACAAAACTTTAGCTTTTGCAGCTGGGTAGAGATTTAAATATTGTTAGCAGTTTTTGAGTGATCATTTATATAGTAATTTGTGTACAGTGGGAAACAAGCTTTGGACCAACGCAACTGTATGTGGTGAAGGTGTTAAGTAATCCAGATTCTGGTTGCATATTTCTATGTCATCAGGTTCTTAAAATTCCTTGACAGATCAATCTCTCCCTAACACAGTTAGCTCAGCATACGGGAAAAACAAAATGTTTTATTTACTGAATGTCTTTTTGTCACAGACTAGACAAGTTGAACATGGACCAGCAGAAGCCTCAGGATTTGAACAACTTTCTGAACCACAAAGTCTTAACGGGGCCTGAGATCCAGAAAAATGATCTCAACCGAGACCCAGTGCAGCAACAGATTTTCTCACAGGCCAATGACAAAGGGTTGAAAGATTCAGAAAAACACAACAGCCAGAAAGAGCATGGGGATTGCACCTTTCAAAGAGATGAAGAAAAGTTCTTACTAAAGAAAGATGAAGTTGGTTATAGGCTTCAGAAGAATGGAGAAAAGTATTTCCTTCACAAAGATGGAGAAAGACTTTTGTTAAAAAAAGATATGGACAATTGCTCACTGCAAAAAGATGGTAAGGTGTACATTATAGACAGATATCTGGATAAATTGGCTGATCATCAAGGGAAAATCGAGTACACCATGATGCAGACAGAGGAAAAATATGATTGTTCTAAAGATGAAGAAAAGAACCTCATCACAAAAAATGGACAGAAATATGTACTTCCAAAATTTGGACAGAAAGATGGGCAGAAGCTTGTTCCTCAAAAGGAAGTGAGGAGACAGCTTTCATTAAAGGAAACAGAAAGACACAACACAGTAAGGGACATGGGGAACAAATATGGTACCATACAGGTTGTAGACAAATATAGTATTCTGAAGAAGGTGGGAAAATATAGCACTCTACGAGAAGGAGATAAATATACTATCACAGACGCAGAGAAATATGCCACTCTCCGTAATGGGAATATGTTTGGTTTTCAAAAAATAAACGGTGCAGAGAGGACTCTGGCTAAAACCAGTAGCATCAGACTTCAACCAATTCAAGCTGCTGCCATCACACCTGCAGTATCCGTAACATGCCAGAACCAGGCCAACATCTACACCCAGAAACCAGCACAGTTTCATGGTTCAGGATCTGAGCCAGAAAAACCTGGAGACGCCAGTCATCCAAAAGTAGATGACAGTCACACTAGGATCTCCATAAATCTTCCTGGTCCAGTTCTGGAGCTAGACAGTGGCCTGTCCAGGACCGTCTCTATCAATCAACTGCAGCCATGGGTCAGCGCTCAGAGACCAAGAGGACTGGAAGATGACACAAGGAGGTAAGGCTCTCTGACTACTTTGTGGAACCACGAGTTGATTACAAATTACAGATTACATCCAAACTGATCCAGCCCACGGGTTACTGTGCATGAAAGGTGAAAAGTGAGTGATATTTGCAAAAACAAAATTTTGCCTGTGTTCATTTGTGCTCGTGTGTGTGTGTCTCGTCAGTCCAAAGGTTTACTTAATTCCTGATGAACTGATACTTAGCAGCCATTTAGCAATGCCATCAGTCTGTCCATCCATCCATCCATCCATCCATCCATCCATCCATCCATCCATCCATCCATCCATCCATCCATCCATCCATCCATCCANTCCATCCATCCATCCATCCATCCATCCATCCATCCATCCATCCATCCATCCATCCATCCATCCATCCATCCATCCATCCATCCATCCATCAAGATTGAGACTCAAGTATGGTGAAATGTCTATCATCTGCAGAAGTTAGCAAAATTGGTATTTTGARTGTTTGTATACACAAATACAAACACTTGCCTACTGGCCACTTTACTAGGTACACTTTTCTGGTTTTAGTTTGTCACAACAGTGGTGACAGGAGGTAGGGGCTCTTCCTGTTACCAGTGGGTTGACAGTTCGAACCCTTGCTCTGTCCTAGTCACTGTGTTCTTGGGCAAGACAGTTCACCTGCCTTGCATGCTGTTGATGGTCAGATGGTCCAGTTGTGCCCCTTTCAGTCTGCCCCAGGGCAGCTGTGGCTACAATATGGCTTACCACCATCAGTGTGTGAATTTGTAAAGGATGGGTGAATGTGTGTAGGGCGTCAAAATGTCACAATCCCAACAGAAGATGAAAGATTTCATCTTTATCTGAGTTTACCATACAGACACTAAATGTTCAACTTACTTAGCGTTTTAATGCACCTTAGGGTCGACTTATTCAGAAAAAAGCCTGTTAACAAAATTTAATGTGGTAGTTTCTCCACAGGGACCAGTTTTTGACCACACCTGTGGAGCTAAATTGGGGCCATAAGTTTTGAAAATAAAAAGGTTTTGAAACTGAAACAAAGAGATTTGAAACTGAAAAATAATTTTGAAACTGGAAAAAAACATATATATTTAAAACTGAAAAAAAAAAATAGAAACAGGAAAAGTTTAGAGTTTCACCTTTTGGCTCATCTCTCTTCAACACAATGGATCGGTACAGTGCCCGCTTCACTGCGGATGCAGCACGGACCACCAGTTGATAATCACAGCTAGAGCTTATTTTGTGGCTCTGGATACATTTTGTTAGTGAGCTCAGGAGCAGAAATGGCTCTTTTGATGTTAAAGGTCTCAGACCCCTGACATAGGAGCTTCAGATTTATTTTGTTGTTCAGCTCTGATGAGGGGCTATCCATCAGGTCCAACCCCACCCCCCAAAAAATAAATAAATAAATAAAAAAGAAGACCCCCCACCCAAACCACTACAATTTTGGGCTACATCTGGTAGCATGACATTTATTAGGAATAAAGACTTCTGAGTTCTGGTGCATTTTTGCGTGCGGGGGTCATTATGTTACCGCTATGTGGTATCTAGTTGGTTTTTCATTCTGAATTACAGTGCTAATAAGAACACCTCAGGATAAAAGATTAAGAGAAAGACCATAATTTTGGCAAATGCATAGATGGCATATTGAAAGTAAATCAAGCATCTGTTTACAAAAGCACAATAATAATTCAAAGTAGTCAAAGAAAAAAACAAACCAAAAAACAAAGCAAACAAACATCTGTTTTGGTATTGGCTCATCTACATCTGAAGTCTGAAACTTGACCTTTTATATGTGGAATTTGTTCTCCCCATGGGTCTTCCAGTTACACCGGTTTCATGTCACATTCCAATAGTTAAGTTTGTTGGGTAATCAGATTCAAAATCCTGTTTTCACCATTGCTGAATGTAGTATGCACCTCTTCAGTGATGTGCACTGACTTCATGTTCAAAGTAAATTTGCCAGTAAAAAATATTTGCTCAAACTACTTTCACAGCTGTACCTGCCTCATTGTGTTCAGCCTGCTCTCTTCACTGCTCATGTGATGAATGAATGAATGAATGAATGAATGAATGAATGAATGAATGAATGAATGAATGAATGAATGAATTTATTTGGTCACATTAAAGAACACTCCACACAAAAACAAACAAAACTTTAACCCTATATGACCAAATAGCTAGAGGCAGAAGCCAATGGCTACTATAAACCATAACATATAATTAATTTACTTTTTAACTTCTTTTTGAAACTAAAAAGAGAGTCACTAAACTTAATTTCATTTTCAAATCATGATATGAGTCCAAAATGCACGACTAATGCCTACAACCAGGGAAGGAAGAACATACAAATTTAACATGTCAGAGCCTGTAAGACATTAAAAATCATTCCGATTAAATAACCCCGGATGCGTCTCCGCTGCACTCCGCTCCGCTGCGCAGGTCGCAGCTGTGCGTTTCAAGTCCAGTTTACACTACCTCCGCTCCGCTCCGGAACCGACAGACGTGCAGGAAGCAGATCGCGCGATAAATTCAGTGATAAATGTGGAAGTCACAGCAAAAAATAATTAATTCTTTGAAAGACAAACTCCAAACACAGCTGAAAACAATGATAAAAAGCCTTTTGGTACTGTATCTATGTTTAAACTGTCTCGCTGTCAGTTTTCTGAAACTTCTGATTTCAAAATAAAATCCACGTGTATTGTGTGTGTACACATATGCTTCATGCTACATGTTTCCTTCTGCTTCCCAAACAGAACGATACATTCTGACAGCATTTGTGTAGAAATATATCCGTATATTTATTAATATAGCTGCAATTTTGACATTATTCCGACAAATTATTCTACCTAACAGTGTCTTATTTTGAAAATATGGATGCTGTGCTCGTGTCTTTTCCTGTTGGTGCGACGTAATCTTTAAAAATTGACTCCGGCGCTGCTCCGGCATCCGGCAAAAATTGGATCTGTTCTAATTTTGACGGATCGCCCTGCGCAGCCAGTGTAAACACTCTAACTGATTATAATGGGTGTTTATTTGCTGCGGAGGTCGGACCGGAGCGGAGACGGAACGCAAGCAATGTAAATTGGGTAAGCGTCCGCTCAACCCCCCCCCCCC